AGACGTGTGCTCTTCCGATCTAAAACTAAAAAGAAAAAGAGCTTTTTTCGGTTTTATATAGATTTTGTCCTTTTATTTTATTATAGTTAATTTTATTAAATATATATTATATATATCCATATAACATTGACATATATGATTATAAATAATTGTATTGCATAAAAAACTTAATAAATAGCTAAATATTTATCTATAGATAATATAATACAATCGTCCCCCTCTACTGTTACAACCGTCCCTGGGGCTGGGGACAGTTGTAACAGTATTCGTCGTAGTGTTTAAACAGTAATAACTTTTTTCCCAGCTACATTACAAGATTGAAAACAAGAAAATTTTGTATTTAAATAAATTCTACAGCTAAAGATATGGGTTTTTTAAATGTAAATATTATAATTTAACTGTTATAGGACTTTAAATTCAAAATACTACTTTTGTCCCCGGTCTCCCCTACATTAATTATAATAGAAAGTATAACGTTTATTGAAAAAAAATTTTATATTGCGGGGATTCGAAATCGCAAATTCTCGTCGGTCGCATGAAAAAGATTACTGCACGCCTCAATCTGCTTAGTTATATCGCTTTCGTAGTTACCAATGCACGGTTCGAATATGTATAGTATATCTGATCGGATGCCCAATTTTATTTGTAATTTTCTCAGAAACCAAAGCCCATTTATTTACATAAACGCTTTTATCGTGTTAGTACACCCAACCTCCTTCTTCTTTGAATTGGCTATACGGCTCGCATTTGGTATTTTGCAATTCGTGCCATCTCCTTGTTAGCTAATTAATAAAAATAAATAAAATTGCACTTATTAAGCATTATTTTCATTTATGTGAAACAAAATTTCATTATTATGCAATTTTCATAAAGATAAATTAATTAAAGTACAATTAGTTTTATACATAAAACCTAAGAACAAAATCATTTGATCTATAGAACCAAGCAAAATGTATTTTGTAAGTAACTAAATTTTTTGTTGCATAAAACAAAATATTTAATTGCTATTAAAAAATGTCTCAACTAATTTCTGAAGACATTAAATTTTTTGTCTGTATAAATTGCATAATTTTTACACATATTATTTCATAATTTCATACTTTTTTTAAGTGTATGATTGATTTCGATACTTTGATCCATAAACAATTAACTTTAAACAATTTTAACAACTAATTTGGTAAGAATCAATTGTATTAAAAAAATCCACTGAGAGCTGTTCATCGTGTTAAGGTTTTCAAACATAAAATTGAGGATACAAAAAAGTATAATTAAAAAAAATTTAAATAAAAAATATATAGATTGAACTTATAAATTTAATAGTAACCAGAAATTTTATTTATATTTTGAGCATTTTAAAATCTTTCTTTTTAAATTTTTTGTAGTTTTGTCAATTTAAGATAAAAAATTGTGTTGCTTTTATTAGTATTTTTATTTAAAAAATACTACAAAAGCAAATTTTTTTTAGATTAATTTTATTTTAGCGTTAAAAATTAATAAATTAATAATTAATTAATTAATAAAGTAACGGAAAAATTAATAAATTGATACTTTTTTAAGTAACAATAACGAGTCACTTTTGGTAATCAATAATTGATAATTACTTACTTTTTCGACTCAGTAACGAGATATTTTTAAACACAGTAACTTTTTCAACCTTGTAAAAAATAAAGCGCATGAAATGCAACATCCTCTGTATGTCTGTGCAAGGAGAGGGGCGTTATCGAAAAGCAGGAAATACTCTCAACGCACGTTCAATTGATTGCTACAC